ATGGATGGTGTGACTATGCCGAATGCAAGGTCAAGTACAGCCCCTGTGAGGGGAAGTTCCTCGACCCTCGTGCAGATGTCAACACTGAGCAATACTCCTATAGAACCACTCTTCTGCACTCGGATGAGGAGTCATGGCATGTTGTAGAATCAAATGCACTCATACATCCATGGGACAGGTCAATGGACGGATTGCTAGAGGTCGTCGGTGCCACCATCACCATATTATCGAAGAATGAACTCGATTTGCAAACTCCGGATGCTACACCGAGCATATTGCCTGGTCCTTCTGAGATTGAAGTCTTCAACCCGTATACTAGCAAAGCTGAAATGATTCGTAGCGATGACCCCAAGTTCTATAACGCGGGGGGGTTCAAGACTAGAAAGTATCAGGGACCCAGCAAACCAAAGGACATTCCATCCTTCGTATGGCAATCAATGTCGGTGAAGCAAAGGAGACTCGCTATCGCGGAAGAGCAGAAGAAGTTAGCTAGAGTTACTGACATGTCCGCAGTGCCTAAGAAGGCTGCTGCGTCAAAAAGATCTAGATATTCCGAGTCATGGGCTTGGGTGCGCGTCTCGGAAGGGAACGCCGGATCGTCATCATCACCGGATGCCGAAGAGGTTCCTAAGATGCCTGTTTGTGGGTATAATGTACAGAGACATCGTGACAAGCTCATTAAGGTTGGTAGGCTTCAGGGTGAGAGAGCAATCAACACTCTAGTTGCCAGACCAGTCAATCGGAAAGAAATGAGATCGAACCCCAAAGCACAAGCATCCCTAGATGTCGATTGGGTAAAGTTAGAGAAGAAAGATGCATGGCTTTATGATACGGTTCAGGAGTGGAAGGATGTAGCTTTGAAAGCCAAGAAGCAAGGCAAAAAGGTCCACATAGGGAAGGTGTTCGAGATCTGTGTTGAGAAAGGTAGCGAGCTGCCCGTTGGACATGAACTTCGCAAATTCAAGGGCCGCACAGTGTTCCAAGGGGGAGGAGTCGACCAACCCGTTGAAGAGTCACAGGTCGACCTCACGGGAGATGATGATGCTGAGAAGACGCCGAAGGCGAAGCCATCTGCCAAGAAGTCCCAAAAGCCAAGCGAGCTGGAAGGTTCGCCGAAAACCACACTCACAGAGCTTGAGAAGGCCGCTGCTGCGGCCAAGGCTCACTACGAGGAGTTGAGTTTCATCGACGAAAAGACCGGTCGCATCGTTGTGCGGGGGGGACAAGGAGGAGCGTGATGCTCGCTTCAAGAAGTGGAAAGAGGCAGAACGGCTCGCAATTCGGCCGAAGGCGCAGCCCAAGCAGGTGCGAAGGCCCAACCTGGAGCCCACAATGCGAGCGATCGACACGGAGGATCCAAGCAAGGATCTGGAGTTCGCTCAGCTTCCGGGGCAGGAGGTTTGGCTCGGCCCGGAGCATCTACGCCAAATTCCGCACCGAGAAGTGGGGGCGGTTCAAATGGATCTCCCAAGAGCTCACATCACACCTTCGTGGCCATAAGGAGCTGAAGAAGTTCGAGACTCCGGAATTTGAGGAGGACGGCAGTAAGCCCTGGAAGCCACTGATGGAATGCCTCCAGAAGCGCATTTACCAATGCCGAGAGTGGGAAGTTCTTCTGGTCATCAAAAATTCAGAGGACGAGAGATTCGAGCTGAAGACTCGGTTGCCGGGAAACACCGTGGGAGCGACCTGGAAAGGTCTGCCGTACGAGCCGGTTGGCATCAAGGCTGTCCAGGGTCACAACCGTTGGGTGACCGACAAACTGGGACATGCCAATTTTATTAAGCGTGTCTATTCACTTGATCCTGAATACACGCCCAAGATGGTGGACGAAGACAGGCTTCCACGGATGAACATGATTCCCGACCAAGAGTATCTGTCGTCATTGCCGAGGGTGCTGTACCACTCGTGCGACCGCGCCGCAATGGAAGGCATTATTGCCTCAGGCCTCATCCCTGGTGGATTTCCGAAGAAGACGGGCAGAGCCCACAACTACTTCACGACATGCCCACCTTGGAAGGCCCAGATGCGGAAGCTTGCGGGAACGCGAGCCGGACAGCCTATATACCTAGCGTTTGACACAGAGCTCGTGATGCAGCATGGCTGCAGAGTCTTCGCCACTCGGAAGAGCATCCTCTGTTTGGACTGGG